AAGATATAGTGATTTCAAGATCTTGTTTTTAACAACTACACAGTACTCCACTATGAAGTTGTACAATAGTTTATTCACTCACCTTCCCATAAAAAGGCACTTGAGTGATTATAATATTTTCCAACAACAAACAATGCTACAGTAAATAATGGATATATTTTTGCACTGTTGGAGGTACGGCTTCAGGGTAAATAACTAGAAGTGGAACTGTTGGGCTAAAAAGAGAGCTGGGCATGGTGGCGCGTACCTGTGATCCAGCACTCTGGGAAGCTAAGGTAGCAGGGTCAAAAGTTTGAGACCAGTCTGGGCAACTCAGTGATACTCTGTCTCAATATAAAAAATAAAAAAGGGCTGGGAATATAGCTCACTGCAAAGGCCCTGGATTCAATCACCAGTACCATAACAGAAAAAAAAGATAAATTTTGTTGAAAATTGCCAAATTTGTCTCCAGGAAGGCTGTATCAAATTTGCATTCTCACTAGCGAAGTATGAGAGCTATGCATGTGGAGAAACTGATGATTCTGTCAACTAGATAGTGAGGAGCTTAGAAAAGGGAGTATTTTCAAAGCACACACTTTTTATGTTTTCTGAATTTCAAATCCTATGAATGTATTACCTACTCAAAAGCAATGCATATTTCTAAAATATATTCCAAGGAGTAAAAATAGTTCATTTCCAATAAAAAGAAACCAAGAACTCCAAATGAGCCAGCCACGAGCAACAAAAAGTATCATGATGGGCCGGGGATTTAGCTCAGTGGTTCCGGCGCCTGCCTTGCAAGTGCAAGGTCCCGAGTTCAATCCCCAGTATCAAAAAAACAGTACCATGATAACGATTAGCTAAATAAGAAAAGAATGGTTCCTTCAGAATACTCAGTACTGTACATTTCTTTTCTTCATGAAATACTACTAAAATGTATCAGTGCTGAGGCCAGGCAAAATATTTTTTTTCTGAAAAGAAATGTTCCCAGGTTCGAATCATCTATGAAAGTATCAAAAACAGAAGAAAGTATCTTGGAAAAGCTTCCTACAACAACCCTAGAATCTTAGTAATTAAAATTATAGTGAGTCTCATTTAAAAGATGACTTTAACCTCAGATGTAATTTATTCCTGAACAGATGTAAATGTTACATTTATCCACAAAGAAAATATGAATATTTAAAAATTTTGTTAAAAGAGAAAAATTAAAACATTAATTACCTTGTCTTGTGTAATCTAAGGAGAATCAGAACCTATATGACAGCAACAAGAAAAATGCATACTGTACTCACCATCGGCTGAAAATTTGTCAACAGCTTGGCCCAAAGTGAGGAAGTTGCCTGTGGATTTTGACATCTAAAACAGAAAGTCAATGATCAGAGATTAAGAACTATATATATAAACAAGCCAAGTCAGCCAAATAAAATTAAGTAAGTTGGCTATCATGAGATTTTAAAAAAGGAATTTGAAACACAAAAATAAAAAGGATGATGTAGTTCAGTGGTGGAGCACTTGCTTAACATCACGAGGCCCTATATTCAATCCCTAGAACTGCTGATAAAATGAAATAAAATAAATTGCACACAAAACATAAAGTAACTTTACATGAATTTTAAAGACACAAAAACCGAAGGTGATCCAATGAAGTGACTTGTCTGGGTGACAAAGCCAAGACAGGGATCTCCAGTCTAACACTGAGGACACAGCGATTTCCATTGGCCTACAAGGCCCCAGGTAACTGGGGTCAGCAAGCGGAACGATTCCACTGTAAACAGAACACTTCCGCTGCTAACAGAAGAAAGAGCTTTAGAGTACTCAGAGACATTCAGAAGAGGAATGGGGTAGCTCATGAGGCTAGAGTTAGGATTTTAACAACCCTCTTGTCATTACAGTAACAACAGATAGTTGTTTAAATTGTGCCCTGGGTCACACATCTAGAAAAGCACTGGCAATCTTTAATGTTTTAGAATTTTTATGTTAGCATAACTTTGGTGATACCAATGAGGTGATTATTACATCAATTTTATATAATTATGGCAATAAAATATCTTGTTCTAACAAAATCAATATAGTACAACAATATTCAGATAGATTTAATATCTTTTTTTTTAACTGGGGATTGAATCCAGGGTCTATGCACTGAGCTACATCCCCAGACCTTTTTATTCTGAGACAGGGTCTTACTAAGCCACCAAACTGCACAAACCTGGCAAAAATTTGTGATCCTCCTGCCTCAGCCTTCCAGAGTGGTGGGATTACAGACATGCACCAACATGCTCAGCATGGGGGGCGGGGGGGTCCACTTTCAAGAGGCAACAAGCCTTACCTTCTCAGAGTTGAGGAGGAGATGTCCATTTGCTCTCACAGCTTTGGGCCATTTGTCACTTCACAAGTAAATGTTTAAAGACAAAATTTAAAGAAAGATTGTGGTTTAAACTTAAAATTTTGAAGAAAATGTTAATAGATTCATAAAAGTTTGCTAAGATAATGTCCACAAATATTAAGTGCAGTCCTGGTTTGTTTTTGTTTTAGTCCTGGGGACAGCATCCAGGGCCTCGCACGTGCTAGACAAGCACCTTACCAAAGAGTTACACCCCCAGCTGCAGTCCTTTTAAAAATCATATAAATTATGACACCAGCATACTGTACAATGATATAATTATTTTAAATATATAAACAGGGATAAAAGTATGACTATAAAGATCTTTTAAATATATTATGTGAAAAAAATGAGACTAGTGTATATAATGTGGTATCACTGCATGAATTTAAAATTATATCTGATGCCTGTATATTCATAAACATTTTTACCAGGAGTAATCCCAAGAAACCAATAGCAGTGATGAACTTTGGGAAGTAGAATATCACACGTGAAAGTTCATTTTTACATTTTCAAACTACATTCATTCATTCATTCATTCATCCCTTCATTCTAGCAATGAGATTGTATGGGTCACCGGAAATGAAAACAAGAGTTCTGGACCAGACTCTGGTTCGCATCTGGCTCTGCCCCTTACTATCTGGGCAGCTTTGGGTGAGTGCTTGACTCTTTTTGATTCAGTGAGATTTTCTGTCTGTAAAATGTGGATATAATAAAAAGACTTTCTCTAAAAGTTATAGAGAGAATAAAACCAGTTCCTAAAAAGTGTCTGACAGAAACACTTCATGTTATTACTTATCTGTAATTTTTTTAAAAAAACTAATAAATGTAAAAAAAGAAAGGGTGCCTTTAAAGGGATAAAGATTCTGTTTACTAGTAAAAGTTACTTCTGAGAGACCCAATTGCTCTAAAAATACATTTTTTAAAAAGATGTTTATTTAAAATAAATAAATAAATAAATAAATAAATAAGATGTTTATTTGCTTATCTAATCATTGCCCATACACCCAATTTCTGAATCTTGTTCAGGTGGATCTTTTTTTTTTAGGTAGTACTGAGGAATCCAGGGGAGGTCATCACTGACCTACATCCTGGCCCTCTTTTTTTCAAGACAGAGTCAACCTAAGTCACCCCGGCTGGCCTCAAGTTTGTAATCCTCCTGCTTCAACTTCCCAGTAACTGAAATTACAGGTATGTGTTGTGCCTGGCTAAAACTACATTTTAAACAATAGAGAAAAAATTATATGTAGTATAAGAACAACATTAGGCTTATTTTATTCTAGTACCTCAAAATCTTCATTTTTTTTTTTGTCTTTTTTTTTGAAACAAGGTCTCACTATTTAGCCCACACTGGCCTCAAACTCAAAGTGATCCTCCTGCCTCAGGCCCCTGAGTGCTGGGCTCACAGGCGTGCACCACCACACCCAGCTTCCTATCATTCTTGAGGGGAAAAAATATATATATATAAATCTAAATACAAGAAATCATATGATATTATTTTGATTTTATAAAATAGAATTTGGAGGAACTAGAGGGAAAAGCAGAGATACGTCTGGGTCAAGAGGGAAAAGAATGGAACCACACAGTATGTGGACCCAGATTCTAGTCAGAACACTGCTACCAGCTAAAAAGCTAGATTCTTGAGGTCCTGAACTATACAGGGCAGGTCCCTTCCAATCCTATCACTGCAGACCTGTCTTATATTCTGGCATCTAAAAGGTCAAATGAATTACCAGCACCCCAACAACGAATCTGAAATATGACTTGTGGTAGCCTGAGGTAGGTTATGAGGATTTCTATACACATAAGAGAAGGCATGCTTTCTACATTAGTATAAATTAATATAAGCAAAGTAACGTCACTGGCAAATCTAGCTAGATCTTCCACAATAATTTCTTAAATATTTGAAGCCACAAGATCTCTGTTGACAATAAATTCAGTCCATATCTATTTAAGCATTCACCTTTGTTCTGTCCACATAGCCACATGATTATAAAGCCAATATGAAAGATGATTTGGAATAAGATCCTTGCCAGAGACTCGAAGATCCACAGGGTACCAGAACTCAAACTCCTGCTTTAACTGATCTAATTTTTCCTTTGCGATTTGAGTCTTAGGAAACGGAGCAGCCTTGAAGAAAATATAATCCCAAACTTCCTTAGTCATCTGTTGTGGTCTGTATTAAAATAAAACAAAAAATATATTTACAATTTGAACCCAGAACCTTTCCACTGAATAGATCCCCAGCCTTTTTTTTTTTTTGGTATGGGGGGATCGAACTTGGGTCCTTGCACCTGCACAGCAGGTGGTGAAACCACTGAGCTAAATGCCCGGCCCCCTCTTTTTTTTTGAGACAGTCTCAGTCGCTAAATCACCCAAGCTAGACTTGATCTTGTGATCCTCCTGCCTCAGTCTCCCAGAGTGCTGGGATTATAGGCATGTAACAACATGCCCACCTAGGAATCTTTTTTTTCTATTTTTAAAAAATTTTATTTCACATAAATTTTATACATGACAAAAGTATTATATGCTTGAGCCTGTCTCCCAAATAGATTTTTTAAGTTAAATCTTTCTTAATGTAGTTATAGTAACAAATAAGAATGGGCTCCCATTAAAATGAAGAATGGAAAATAATAATAGAGGAGGGGCTATATGTTAATTTTTCTTGATTTCATAGTAAAAAACCCAAAACTATTGTGACAAAATTCTCCTAAATGAACTCTTCAGAAAACTAATATAAAAGAAACTGTTCAATACATAAATCAAAAGATGACAATGCTTACTAACAAACTCTGTTCCTTTGTGTTAACTATTTACCAACCTTATCCCCAGTGGGGACTCTGCCTGTCCACGCAAGTCATCCCCCTGTAACAGGTGTGCAACTGTGTAAAAGGCCATGTAAATCGTGGAGTCCGAGAGAGACTCAATCAGCCACTGCTCATCCCAAGGCAAGCGAGTGCCTGGAAAAGAAAAAGAAAATGAACACTAGAGGAACCGCAGACACATCATTCACCCAATTCACATTTTTAACAAGAAAATGGCTTTTACAAAGCTACTTATTTAAGAAAGTTCATTTTGCTTTATGTTGCTTTTGGTGGTACAGGGATTGAACCCAGGACCACTTTACCACTGAACTATATCCTTAGCCCTTTTCAGTTTTTATTTTGAGAAAAGGTCTCACTAAATTGCCCAGGTTGGCCTCAAACCTGTAAACTTTCTGAATCAGCCTCCTCAACAGCAGGGATTACAGACACGTGCCACCATAACCAGCTATGAAGTTTTTAAATTCTTTTTGATTAATAAAAATAAAAGAATAGGCAAAAAATAAACTAGTAAAGCTCTGGAGTCTTTTTATTTAAAAAAATCACCCAAGGGCCAGTCCTGAGTTTGATCCCCGGTATTGCAAAAAAAAAAAAAAAAATCACCTGAAAAGCTATGTGAGTTATGGATGACATATTTCTACCATCACATCGATGGTAGGGGACCGTATCCTAGATTATCCTCTACCAAAACCTGTCACTTTCAATTGAGAAAACATTGAGAGGAAAAAACAATTAAAATGCATATGTGCTGTGTAATTGGCAAAACCACCTAAACAGAAATGTTTCAAGTTTGCTTACCTAAGCCGTAAGTTCTGGAGCAAGCATGTTCTTGTAGCCAATCTAAGGAAGCTTCAAAATTTCTCCTGGTCTCCTCACAGAATCTAAAAAGAGCAAAAGAAAAAGTGTCTCCTGTCACCTGTGCAATCTTTCCTATTTCTCGTCTTCTTTCTCCTCTCTCATTTCCTCCCATCTTACGTCTCCACGTTCTTTAAGCACTGGGACGTCTGTTTTTTCCAGTTCTCTTCTCCATAATCCAAGTACCTGGGAGTGGACAAATGCATTTTTTAAAGGTCAGAGATGAGCAAAGTGACTAATGAAATTTTCTTGCTATAAAGAAGACTAACCACTGGTCACACAGAGCCACCACACATTCGTCTGAAGACCTGGACATTACTTGTTTCTCTGGTTCCATGTAAATATATGCATCTCCCTAAATGAAGATAAATAAAAATATATTAAATATTATGCCTAATCAATCTCCACCTTTCACATTGATTTTTAAATTATTTTTAAAAGAATATGACATCTCTAGTAACTAAAACCCATTTTTCATTACGCATTCTCTCTTCTCATAGCTGAATTTACCTGCTTTGCCTTTTATACAATGGTCAAGTTTGAAAAAAACGTGCAACTTCTTCAAGCAGTCACTTTCCCTAGCTGACTATTCCCTTTCAGTAAAAAATGAAAAAGCAGTTTCATATCTTATGATTTGATAGCCTATATGTGACAACTTTCTATTCTTATAAAAATATAAGTAAAATTAAATGTATATAACTACTTTAAAAAATACATAAAGATTAAACATGAAATATCTTGTTACTAAATATTACTAAATCTTTGGGCCGGGGATTTAGCTCAGTGGTTTCGCTGCCTGCTGCACAAGTGCAAGGATCCGAGTTCAATCTCCGGTACAAAAAAAGATTACTAAATCTTGTTACTAAAGATTTATAGTGTATTAAAAAATTCCCCACTAGAAAACTGCCCACAAATTTATTTTTAACAAAATGTAAGCAAATCTTGATGTATTACATGGCCCCAAATATTCTAAGTTAGTATTATTTTTAAATAAAATTCAGCACTATTCATAAAATAATTCATGCTTTATATTTTTAATGCATCTCATACTGAAATTAAATAGCTCAAGTTTTTGGTTTAAAGACAATTGATTAAAAACAGACTTTTTTAGGGCCGGGGATTTAGCTCAGTGGTTCCAGTGCCTGCCAGAAAAAAAAGAAAGTTTTTTTTATACCAGGGATCAAACTTGGGACCTTGAACTTTCGAGGCAGGCAGTGGCACCACTGCACTAAATCCCTGGCCCTAAAAAGACATTTAATGCCTCAAAATTATAAATAAATGACAACAAAGAGAATTATTTTAAATTATCTGAATCTACAAAGACAAGAAGAATGGAAAAAGAAAATAATATCAGATTTTGGAAGCCAAAAAGCAGGATGAGTGATAATTATTTTAGCAGAAAGAAACCTTGCTAAATCCTAAGCCAGCAGGAGAGAATACTGAAAAGCAATCCAGTCTGCATTACAAAACCTCCAAAAGATGCAGGAACTTGTGGCATAAAACGGCTCCGAAAGTAGAAACGAGAGGAGGAAGAAAAGAGGAGGCATTAAAGTCTTTCAGGAAGGAGTTAGAACTCCAGCTCCTAATTCCACACTGTGCACACAGCTGACTGGCCCTCCCTCTGCTAGCAGTACATGAAAAGTATATTCTCTCCGGAGGGAGAATTCCCTGAACTAGGGGACAAAAGTCAAGACTATGGACATGATAGTAAAACACAGGGGATCTGTGAAAGTCAGCACACCACATGTTGGTACTCAGCTGTACCAATCTTGTCTCATTCAGTTCCCAGAATGTTGTTAGTCCAGTGATGGCTAACCTTTTAAGAGTTTTCAATGACAGGAACAACCCACTGGGCACGTGTGCCATAGTTTCATCAGCACTGGTTTAGATCCTTTAAGCAAAAGCCTGGGAGAATATCCTGTAGGGAATTTAAAAACTCTAAATATCAGGGCTTCCCAAAAGCCCAAACAGCCCTTTTCAGATCTCCCCCAGAACAGTCAAGTGAAATGCCCTACCCACAAGCAAAGAGGTTCCTTTTGTACTCAATAGCTTAGATATCAACAATCTTATTCAGAAAAATAAAAAAGATTTCACATTCAAGAAACAAGAACAGCATCCTATAAAAAAAATCATTCAAAAAACAAAAATCAGCTCTTTTTGGTGCTCAGGGCCTTGTGTATTAGCATATGCTCTACCACTGAAATATACTCACAGCCCCAAGACTCAGCTCTTGAACTGGCCCCACGTTGATAAGTGTTGAAACTGAATGACAGGCATACAGGAAATTCATCCTACCACGCTACTTTTTGTACACTGGAAAATTTCTATGTGAAAGAGATTTTTTTAAAAATGAGTTCTCAGAGAGGCCAGAGATTTAGCTCAGTGTCACCAGCGCCTGCCTGGCAAGCACAAGGTCCTGAGTTCGATCCCCAGTCCTGCAAAAAAAATGAGTTGTCAGAAATCTAAAACTCAAGAAGAAAAGCTAAGGGACTCTCACAAAGAAGAGCAAAAGCATACCCAGAGTCCAAGAAGTCCAATATCTGAATAAGAACTCAGAAAGCGAAAATAAAGAACAAGACAGGTATGGTGGTGTATATCTGTAACCCCAGTGCTCAGGAGGCTGAGGCAGGAGGACTGCCACAAGTTCAAGGCCAGCCTGGACTACATAGTGAGCTCAAGAATAGCCTGAACTGTTACAGAGCAAGACCCTGTCTCAAAAAAAAAAAAAGAAAGAATAAATGAATGAATGAATAAAAATAAAGAAGAAGGGGTAAAATAAGGAAAAGTGTTTTAAAATTTTCTCCCAAAATTGAAAAACACAAATTTCCAGAAAAGCCTACCAACAGAATAAGTAAAAATTTACCTGTACCAAGGCATATCATCATAAAATTTCAGAACGTAGGAAAGAAAAAAAAAAAAGATCCTACAATCTTCTAGTGTAAGCAGAAAACTGACTTTCAAAAGATGTAAGTTACTGCCAGGCATGGTGGTGCACACCTGTAATCCCAGCACTTGGGAGGCTGAGGCAGGAGGGCTGCTGCAAGTTTGAGGCCAAACTATCAGGTCTAGGCTACACAGTGAGTTTAAGGCCAGCCTGGACTATATAGCAAGACCCTGTCTCAAAAAACCAAAACAGGGCCAGGGATTTAGCTCAGTGGTTCTGCTGCCTGCCTCACAAGCATAAGGTCCTGAGTTCGAACCCCAGTACCAAAACAAAAACAAACAAACAAACAAAAAAACAAACATCAGTTACTATCAGAATAGTTTTGGATTCTCTGCTTCCACTTCCCAAATACCTGAGAGTACAGGCGTACACCAACACAACCAGCCAGTGCTAGGTTTTTTTTCAGTACTGGGGATTGAACCTAGGGTCTCACTCGTGCTAGGGAAGCACTCTACCTCTCAGCTACATCTCCAGCCCCTTTTTTATTTACATATATTTTGTTTGCTTGTTTTTTGAGACAGAGTCTTGCTCTATAGTGAGCCTGATCCTGAATTCTCTATGTAGCCCAGGCTGGCTGTGAACTCATAGCAATCCTCTTGCCTCACCAGAATGCTGGGTACCGGTGTGCACCACCACACCAAGCTTTCATTTTTATTTTGATATAAGGCCTTACTGGGCTCAAACTTGTGATCCTACTGCCTCCACCTCCCGAGTAGCTGGGATTACAGGCTGAACCACTGGACCCACCAGCACTGGATTTCTTAAGAGCATCAGTGAACCAGAGGACCATGGAGTAACGCACTCAGATTTTTAAGGAAAAATGATTTCCAATACAGAATTTTCTATCCAAGAAATCAAATACAAATTTGAAAGAAAGATTTTTCAATATGGAAAGCCACAAAAATTTACCTTCCAGGTAACTTTTCTCCAGGAAAGTTACCAGAGACAGAGCTTCACCAAAATGAAAGAAAAAACAGGGAAAAGGCCAAACAATCAAGTAAACAAGAAATTTAACTAAGAGAAGGAAAGGGAATTCTCAGTAATGGAGGAGGAGCATCCCACATGCCATCTGCATACCAAGACAGTACCAGCAAACAGGCCTGACTAAAGCAGAAGGCCCTCTCTAAGATGGGGCCATTAACATTCTGTTATGTTTGAAGAGACTGAGAAAAGAAATATACAGTCAGAAAAGAGTTTGGGAACACTGATATGTATATTTTAAGATAATTTTTTTTAAAAGACAATTATTAACTCCAGTGAAAACCAAAATTTGGAGAAGAAAATTCTCACTGTGTACCACAACTGAACTAACCATGTCTCAAAAATATAAACAATGATTATTAATGTAACATAAGTTATAATACAACTATGTTAGGAAGATCGCATATGAGATATAAACATGTCAGAGAAGACCCAAGGTGGGGCGGGAAGACTTAATTTTTATCTTTCCTAGTAGGAAGTCAGTGGTTGATGCCTAAACCTAAAAAAAAATCAAATTCCAAAATTACACTATAAGCATTTAAAACATAAGAGAAATGGAAATCAATACTAAAATAAGATAGTTGAAACATTCCCTCCAAGGAAGAGAAATTTAAGACAATGTGAAACAAGGGAGAGGAAACCACTGCTTTCTTATTTTAAATAAGCCTAATAGGCTTATTAAAAATTAAAAATTTAAAGAATTAAGTAGCTAAATAAAAGAAAGCTACAACAAAAATGGAGAGGTAAACAGTAAACCACTGGGCCAGGGATTTAGCTCAGCGGTGCCGCCGCCTGCCTTGCAAGTGCAAGGTCCCGAGTTCAATTCCCGGTACCACAAACAAACAAAACAACAGTAAAGCACCACAGAAAGAAGAATGTAATTACTGCATCAGTGTCTTATCTAACATAGCTACTAACAGCAAGTTATCACTGAAGTTCTCTGTATATGCTTTAGAATGCTACCTTCAACAACCTAACAGGTCGAATGTTCTGCTAAATAGGTCTGCACTCTTCCATAAATATAACTTTAATACAGCTCCAGGTTCTACTATAGAACTCACTGCTAATAACACTGTAAAGTCCGTTAGTTAACAGTCCTCCCAACATAGCCTTCAAAGGATAGCCTATCACCTACAGCATCAATCATCTTTTTCTGGATAGTCTTCTTTACATCTTGGACTTTCTGTCCTTTAAATCCATCCACCAACATTACCTAAAAGGATGAGAAGGAGTAAAAAAACCCAAATAAAACAATTAAAATTTGTTATAGTGTGAAATTTATCACATTTATAGCCATAATTAGTTCGGTATAGCCTAGACAACTAATGGGGAAGGAGGGTATGTAGATTGAATCCAGGGCTTTCACACTGAGCTACCTCTCCAGGCCCCTTTTTTTTTAAACATGGAATCCCACTAGTTCTCTCAGTTGGCTAGGCTGGGCTCAAACTTGCAATTCTCCTGCCTTACCCTCTCAAGAGTGCTGGGTACCACTGAGTCCAGCCTAGACAACCAATATTTATAACACACTTGTCTTTCTTCAGAAATAGCTGGCATAGCTATTGTGAGTGTGATTAGGAAGCACTCACTTCCACTTCTCAGCTTTTACATGGAAAGGATTCTGCTATACTAACTCACCTCATTTCTGATGGTTTTAGAAGAAACTAAACATATGTGCTATTTATCCTTCTCTTTCCAAACCTGGTTGCTACAAGCCTGCTGTAGGTCTATTATTTTTCAACTCTACCTTTTAGTCAATAGGGAAAATTTAATTCTAGGGCAAAGTATGAGCTCACCATTATTGCCATATATCAAAGCCACAATGCCCTTATAGCTTTCTTTAGTAATAAAGTTTAGATTCTGGCCTCTGACTATTGTGTCTCTCTCAATAGTTTTAATTTTACATGGAAGAGGTATGTTCTTTTTTGACCTTCCAGTCCTCTCACCAAATGCTTCACTATCTACTTAACCTATCATTATGAAGTTATACTTAATGATCATGATGGTGTAGTGTTTAAAACAGAAAACCTACAAGCCACGGTGGGATACACAATCAATCTCAGCTACTCTGGAGGCTAAGGTAGGAGGACAGTAAGTTTGAGGCAAGCCTGGAGAACTTAGTGAGACCCTGTCTCAAAAAATAAAAAAGGGCTGGCAAAATAGCTTAGCATGCCTAGCATATGCAAGATCCTGGGCCTGATCACCAGTACTTGAAAAAAGAAAATCCAAATCCTGGAGCTAAACTGCCAAGTTTGAATCCCAGGTCTGCCAGCGGCTATCTGGCTGATCTTGAGTAAATTACTTAATCTCTTTATCCTCCATTTCCTCATTTGTAAAATGGGATAACAGTGCCTACTTCACAGAATTATTTTTAGGAGTTAAGTAAATTAATATGCAAGTGCTATGTAAGTGTTGGCTCTTACTATAACTTAACATGTAAAAGTCATTTAAAAAGACATATAACTAATTCTTGGTTATCTAGAAGATAAGGAAAAGAAAAATAAGAGGTATTTTCATTAGTCTCCTTAAAAATCTTCATTTTGTGAGCCAAAATAAGCTTCTCCTCCTTTTAAAAAGAAAACAGAAAAAAAACCGTCATTTCAAGGGCTGGGACTATAGCTCAGTGCCTCACATGCATGGGGCCCTAGGTTCAATCCCCAGCACTGCAGGAAAAAAAAAAATCTTGGGGCCAGGGATTTAGCTCAGTGGTTCCACCACCTGCCTCCCAAGTGCAAGGTCCTCAGTTCAATCCCCGGTACCAAAAAAAAAAAATCTTCACTTCAAACTTAAGCAGCTAACAACTTGGTTAGATTTTTACTTTCTCTAGCCAAGGAAATTTAAGCCACATCAAAATATGCACAATTCAGAAAAAAAGAGAGGCTCAGAACATGTTTGTTGTGCTTACCTGAGTGTTATTAGACATTAATAAGTAAATTAATAAGAAACTACTTATCTAAAATATAAACTCCTGAATTAAAAACAAAAGAAGAGGGGGCTGGGGATTTAGTTTAGTGGTACTGTACGTGCCTCACAAGCACAAGGCCCTGAGTTTGATCCCTGGTACCAAAAAAAAAAAAACACGACACACTTACAATCCCAGCAGTCAGGAGGCAGAGGCAAGAGGATCGCTGTGAGTTCAAGGCCAGCCTGAATTACATAGCGAGACCTTGTCTCAAAAAAATAAAAATAGAAAAGGAGAAGGCATTCTGTATCCAATAAATCTTTGGAGTTTACTGTATAACAATATGAACTAATTTTATCTTCTCAAGAAATTTATCCCTTAGAGATTCATAGAGTAAAAAAAAATGTAATTTCTGAAAATATTCTTAGACAAAAGACACAATAAAAATTAAAATTTAGAAACAGAACATAATACCATAATCTTTCAAATCAATGTAATACTGAAACTGCGCTCAATTTTTCTTTCATTTTTTCAAAATCATTAAGAAAATTCCAAGGACTATCATACATCAAAACAGTAATTCAATCCCCAGTACCACAAAAAAGCAAACAAGAAATTATTACTTACACCTTCATAAAATCCTTTGAGATATAATTTCTCCTTTGCTTCTGCAAGTTTTTCTCGGTCATTCTGGCTCTGAATTTTCAACTCATCGCAAATGGTTACAGCAGAAAGACTTCCAAGACCAGGGATTTCAATGACTGGCACCTGCAAAGAGCAATGTGAAAACTCATTCACACCGAATGGACACAGAAAGAGCCCGATGCTGCACAGTCCTTGTGCTTCTAATGCCCCATGGAGTCATTTCCGACTGCGTGCATCACGGCAGTGCCACACACTAAGTAATCACAGAATGACTAACTTCTACATGGAAATCTGTTCTCCTCTTCTCCACAGGAGCCAAACTTGCACAAATTTCCACACACTTTCCCCAGCTCTCAGCCCTACGCTGGTATGTGTTAACTATATAAAGTTGAAACTAGCAAAGCAGTTGTGAACAATCATTTTTGTGGATGATCTTGCTTTTTTTGTTTTTGAGACCGAGTCTTGCTATAGTTCACTACGTAGCCTAGGATGGCCTTGAACTCACAGCAATCTTCCTTCAGAGGGCTGGGATTACAGGTGTGCACCACCACACCTAGCGGGTTTTGCTTTCTTATATTAAATTTTCTGGATTCTTCATGAAAGTCATTTATTTCTTCTGCAGGCACTAATATGAAAACACAAGAGCTGAGCATAGTAGTACATGCCTGTAATACCAGCACTCTGGGAGACTGAGGCAGGATTGCCTCAAAGCTCAGTCTGGGCAACTTAGTGAGATCTTGACTCAAAATAAAAGATGCACAGGACTGGGAGTGTAGGTTGGTACAAAGGAATGGGGTTCAATCCCCAGTATCACAAAAACAAAACACAAGAAACATAAAAGAGTTGTATGGGATTTTGTTATTATGGCTACAAATAAATATTCATGAGTAACATAACAAAACTATCTTCAGAAGCCAGGACATTGGTTATAATAAGAAAACAAGCTAGTATAAAACTGATGATGCCAAAAAGCTATTTGTTCCAGAAGTGTAAGTGCATGTGCTAAGAAAATACTTAGTTTTCCTCTATTACCTTCAATGCAGATATCAAATTAAAGTAAATAAATCCTTAAGCAAATACCCTCTCTTATTTTCATACTCCACAAATTACTTAATTTTGTTACAAGGAAAACAAGTTAGCTCCTTTTTTCTCTGATAAAGAAATAAATATGAATATCATGACTCAGCCATGTACTCACCGGTTCAAATGGCAAGACCATGTCATCTCTAATTCCATATTTTGCTCGAAGGGCCTACAAAACAATTCACAAGTTAACAATAATGATCAACGCTACTGGAATAATCATTGAGAGCAGCAAACTCCAAACTTTTCTTGAACTATTACTTGTTTTCTCCATACAAAAAAAATTTTTTAGCTTATCAAATACCTGAAGAAGGATCTGTGACCTTTTAAAACTCAACAGCTTAAATTATAGTAAATAGTTTAAATAACAAAACTGTGAAGCCAAATGCAAAAAATGCACACATATCAGTTAAGCTAAGGAACATATTCTCAGTTGCAATGAAAATGTGATCTTAAAAAGCTCATTCAAAATTCTATGAAACACTGTACTCAAAATTTCAGCCACAGCTGGGGATTTAGCTCAGTGGTGCTGCTACCTGCCTTGCAAGCGCAAGGTCCCGAGTTCAATCCCCGGTACAAAAAAAAAGTCCAGCCACAGAAAATTTATAAACATTATAAAACAGGTTGTAGGTAAGTTTAAAGATAAATGTGTATCTTTTTAGCCTAATGTCATAGTGTAGTTCAGCAGCACCTAAACAATGAAATGGTAAAGACAAATAAGAACATCAAACTCAGAAACTTACTTGCTTTTTCTTCAAATCTCTGAGGGCAGCAATATCATCAGGGGCATCAGAAGGAACACTTGTGACCACACCAGTGCCTTTGAAAAGAGAGTGCGGAATTAAATAGTACAACTAGAATGTGACTGCCAAAGTATTTCTAGAAATAACCCTTTACCTTTATCCTCCTTAATGGTGAGCATTGGGAGAACATAGATCACATCATAGCAAGTTAAAGGCGCAGAAAGGGATGCACCCAGAATTTCCTGCATAAGAAAAAAATCAGCATGAAAGGTGAAAAAACTTATTTACAATCATTAAAACTTAAAGCAATATTAATATGTTAAGCTCAAGGGGTGGGGATTTAGCTCAGTGGCTCCGACCCCTGCCTTGCAAATGCAAGGTCCTGAGTTTGATCCCCAGTACCAAAAAAAAAAAAAAAGAAATACATAGGAATAAGCTCATGAGATCAGTGATCACACAAAATAATGAATGTAGTTAATAAGTATATTATATCCTTGAAAATCACAAGAGATTCTAAAGCTTCTCACAACAAACAAGTAAGTACATGATGTAATACATTTGTTAATTAGCTTGATTTGGCCATTCAACAATGTGTGTACTTCAAAACATCATGCTTCACACCATAAATATGTACAATTTTTGTCAGTTAAAAAAATAAATATGATTGGGGCCGGGGATTTAGCTCCGTGGTTTCACCGCCTGCTGCGCAAGCACAAGGTCCAGAGTCTGATCCCCGGTACTAAAAAAAAAAGCAACATCAATAAGATATAACACTACAACTCATGCATTTAAAATGATAATTATGGGCCAGGGATTTAGCTCAGTGGTTCTGGCGCTTGCCTCGAAAGTGCAAGGTCCAGAGTTCGATCTCCAATACCAAAAAAAAAAAAACACCAAAAAATGATAATTATGGTAGCTGGCTGTGATGGTGCACACTTGTAATAGCAGCACTTAGGAGGCTGAGGTAAGAGAATTACCATGTGTTCAAGGCCAGCCTAGGCTACATAGTGAGAGACTGTCTCACAAAAAACATAAAATGGCAATTATGAATACAAACTGATGTTTAAAAAAAGATACTTCTAGTGTTTCTTGAGAAAATTAAGAAGTTTCAGAAACACTGGGCCTATATTCTCACATGGCAACAAAAAGCCTACAGCTTCTTGCTCTAAGTAATACACTTCCATTCCACAGTCCCCTTCAACCCATTTTATATGTACATATATGATGCCTTTACAGAATTTGCAGTCATGTGAGGGACAGCTATATTAAGCATTTTCCAGGTTGAAATCTATGTTTTTAGTCAATAACATCCATTTTCCTCACTGCAGAATTTGTTTAAATTAACATGAAGAGAAGGTGCATTAAGATCGGGAAACAAACAAACAAAAAAGAATGAGAAAAAAGCTGGGTGTGGTGGTGCACACCTGTAATCCCAGCACTCAGGAGGCTGAGGCAGGAAGACTGCCAAGTGTTCAAGCCCAACCCGGGCTACATAGTGAGTTTGAGGCCAGCCTGAACTATTCAGTGAGACCCTATCTCAAAAGAATAAACATAAAAACAAAAACACAACCAAAAAATTTAGAAGCAAATTGGCTGGAGGGTATAATTCAGTGGTAGAGTTCTGCCTAGCATGTGCAAGGCTCTGGGTTCAATTCCCAGCACCATAAAACACATACAAAAAAATCAGTGCTGTTCCCAAAAACTTTTCAGATAAAGATTCTAACATGAGGAATTAATGAGATGTAATGACACTGCCTTCTAAAAGAAAAAGACGGGAAACAATTCAAACATCCATTCATTTTGATACAGTCAAACAAGAGAATACTATGTAGCTGAGAAAAAAATGAATAAGACAGCTGTTTATATACTAATAACTGAAAGAAAAAGATATAGCACAATGTGCAGGGCAAGGTAGCAAAGACCTATAATCCCAACACTAGGGAGGCTGAGCCAAGAAGCACTGCCATGAGTTCAAGGCCAGCCTGGGCTGCACTGCAAGTTCAAGACCAACCTGAACTAAATAATGAGACTCTATCTCAAAAATAAATAAAAACTTTTGTGCTTGTCAGAGCTCTTTTTGCAGCTGCTGAGATTTTCTTACATTCCATCTTCCCTTC